TTCACTGAGTCAGTTGACCAGAGAGTTCAAAAAATGTACATTTTCACTAAAACTTAATTTGTTTCTCTTTTCATGTAAATGCTACTGCTAAGATGAATGATTCTAAAAGAAAACAACTATTTTATAGAGCAAAAAAGAGTAAAAACATGTCTAGAATTAAGCAATTTCCTATCAAAATTGCTTAATAAACATTTATTTTGTTTATTTTTATTTTATTAGTATTTTCCTTAAATGTGTCAAATATATATTTTCTCATCTAAATGTCCACTGAGCTGTGAGCCAGGGGGCGGTAATGCACCTTAACATTGGTTGCCAACCAAGAAGAAGAAGAAGCTGTGAGCCAGGAGGGAGGGGGTGAGTGAGTGAGTGAGTGAGTGAGGGATTCGTTGGCTCTATGATTCAGCACAGGAGGGAGGGGGTTAGTTAATCCTGAGTGATTCGCTTACGCTGACGATTCAGCACAGGAGGGAGGGGGTGAGTGAGTCCTGAGTGATTCGCTTAGGTTTACGATTCAGCACAGGAGGGAGGGGGTGAGTAGCTCAAATGTGCTGTTAGCATGTTAGCAGAGCAATGCTACTGTGAACCGAGGAGCTATTGTCTTGATGTGAGCTTCTACTCAGGGTTTTTTCTTCCAGTTCAGAGCAGAAATGTTTTTGTTAAGATACTGGATGTTGTGTTTTTCTCCACAATTTTAATTATAAGCTAGATATATTACTGCTAACAGCAACAGGGATGAGTCAGTGAGTCAGTTGGGCTTGTGAATCATGATTCATGAGTCAGTAAAGTGATTCTCGAGTATTGAACGATTCGTTCATGATTCGTGCATCACTAGAAAGGAGATGCTACCGGTAGACTGCAGCGAGAACTGCCAGTCTGAGCCAGCCAGACTCTGTCTGTCTGTCACATCATGGTCACCTAAACGCACAGTAATGGCAGGTTTTGTAATAAGGCAGATCGCGCTAACATAATATGCACTGTTAGTTGATTATTTACCTGCCGCATTAACGGGAGAGGACGTGCAAACGTTACCGCTGCTGCTGGGTTGAGATTCACGAGTCCGGAGCGGAATTAAAAACACGACATTCAAGGTCATCACGTGTTTTGTGAGCAAATGCTTTTGCATATTCGTAGTGTTTCCTCCCTTAAATGAAATATCTACTTTGCAAGTATTGCAAGTTGCCCTGTTGTCATCCATTCTCGTAAAGTATAATCAAACTTTTGAGCGTTTGAGCCGCCGTGTTTCCTGCCAGATAAATGACGCTCCGCAACGAGGTGACGTCATTCGGGGCGACTGGAATCGATAAGGGTATCGTTTGCAAAAATGGCAAACAATTCCAAGGAATTGAAACAGTGGGAACCGGTTCTCAACAAGAACCAGTTTTCGATACCCATCCCTAGTTATAATTCACTTGAAAGCCTGAAATGAAAAAACTGTTCTGTTTGTTGTATCTGAATACTGTGGATTCTCTGTAAAAGAAAGCCTCAAATCAGAAGTACTTGACTCCCTGGTATAATTCTCAAACATGCACCTTAAAGCAAATAACTCATAAACAGGAGAGGGAATGGCGTCTCACTAATTTAGAAGATCATCATTCAGCCTGGAGAAATACTTTGTTGCTCTATTTTTTAAAAAGCCCTCTTTTAAAGCTAGAACATCTTACTATTCATCACTGATAGAAGAAAATAAGAACAACTCTAGGTTTCTCTTCAGCACTGTAGCCAGGCTGACAAAAAGTTAGAACTCTATTGGACCAAGAATTCCTTTAACCTTAACTATTAATGACTTCATCCATTATTTAGACTCTTTTTCTCCAATTGATCTTTTTGAGTTAACTTAAACAATTACTTCTTGTCTTTTAGACCCCATTCCTACAAGCCTCCTTTAAAAAGTCCTCCCACTTAATGCTTCAATCTTAAATATGATCAGCCTATCTCTATTCATGGACTATGCACCACAAGCCAAATGATCTTCTTGTGACAGTGGACTCATCTCTGTGCTTGTCCCTCTAGGCCTCAGTGCAGGGTTCAACACTGTCGACAATAATAATTTACTGTGATTCGAGCATGCTGTAAGTATTAAAGGTACTCCGCTGCAGTGGTTCGAATCATATCTATCTAATAGACTACAATTTGTTCATGGATATGGGGAGTCTTAATTACTTCCACAGAGCTAGCTTGATCTATCCATGACACCAGTAAACATGCACCAATTACTTAAAATGCAGTAATGTCCTGAAGACATAAAGACCTGGATGACCTCTAATTTTCTGCTTCTGAATCCAGATAAAACTTATGTTACTGTACTTGGGCCTAACAATCTAAGACACATGGTGTAACCAGATGGTAGTCACCACAGTAACCGAACCTTTTTCATTCAACTTGTAACTCACCAGTTTCAGAGGAAAGTTGTTTCTTAATCCACTTAACACAGTGTCCTATAAATCACTTAAGAATAAAAAAGGCATCAAACTCAAAAAATGACCCAGTATTATTTCTGTACATAACAGGCAACTAACAATTTTCAACTGTATGTTTGCAAAACAAATTTTGTGACATTTGGTTCCATTTCTTTAGTTGAATCTATGAAAAACGCCAAAGATCAGACAGTTTGACAGACATTAAATAGTGTTTTTGAACCAACAAGGCAATTTTAAAAGAGGTCTTAGCTGAAAACTTGACATATTTCAACATGGTGTGCAGTAAACCCTTAAAAAAACAGCTGCAGATGCAGTTGCTCAGGACGCTCTCTATAGTCCCTCTGTAGAACATGGTGAGAATGGATGATGGGAGATGGGCTTTTATCAGCTTCCACAGGAAGTAGAGACGCTGTTGGGCCTTCTTGGTTAAGGAGCTGGTGTTGAGGGACCAGGAGAGGTTCTCCGCCAGGTGGACACCAAGGAATATGGTGCTCTTGATGACCTCGGATCCATCGATGTTAAGAGGACAGTGATCTCTCTGTGCTCTCCTAAGGTCAACAATTATCTCTTTTGTTTTCTCCACATTCAGAGACAGGTTGTTGACTCTACACCAGTCCGTTAGCTGTCACACTTCCTCTCTGTATGCTGACTCGTCGCTCGTGCTGATGAGACCCATCACAGTCGTGTCATTGGCGAATTTGATGATGTGGTTCCAACTGTGCATTGCTGCACAGTGACATGTCAGCAGACGAAACAGCAGTGGGCTGGGCACACAGCTCTGAGGGGCTCCAGTGCTCAGTGTGGTGGTGTTGGAGATGGACTGTCTGAGGTCTCTCTGTCAGAAAGTCCAGGATCCAGTTGCAGAGGAGGGTGTTCAGGCCCAACAGGCTCAGTTTTCCAGTCAGGTGCTGAGGAATGATTGTGCTGAATGCTGAACTGAAATTTATGTACAGCATCCACACATATGTGTCTTTGTTTTCTAGTTGGGTGAGGGCGAGATATAGGGTGGTGGCGATGGCATCATCTGTTGATCAGGTGGGACAATAGGTGAACTGCAGTGGGTCCATTGTGGGTGGCAGCTGGGTCCTAATGTGCCTTATGACAAGTCTCTCGAAACACTTCATCATGATGGGTGTGAGTGCAACAGGACGGTAGTTATTGAGGCAGTACACTGAGGACTTCTTTGGCACAGGAACGATGGTGGTGGCTTTGAGGCACCTGTTTTGAAGGTGGAGTCTCGAGTCTTTAACAGCGCACGCACCTCTGCAGTGGTCCACATTTTCTGGTCTGGTATTATGATAGTGCTGAAGTCATTGACATGATCAATGCACTTGCAATGTTGCTGGTCACAGATGATGTGTACTCCTCCAAGTTGGTGCAATCGCCATTTGTAGCAGCCTCCCTGAACATGTCCCAGTCAGTGTGCTCAAAGCAGTCCTGAAGAGCAGAGAGAGCTCCAGCAGGCCAGGTTCTCACCTGTCTCAGAACCAGTTTGCAACGTCTGACGAGCGGTCTGTATGCCGGAATTAGCATAACAGACAAGTGGCCAGAATATGCAAGATGGGGGAGGGGCCTCGCTGGGTGCAGAATGAGAATGTTTGTGTAAACAAGATCGAAATACACTAATACACTAATCATGAGAGATTGTTGGATTGATTTTTACATCAGAGTGTAATGTGACCACATTTGCAGTCACATCACACTCTATGTTAGTGTTTTTCAAACATGAGCTTTCATTGTGCACATTTGGGCTACACATTATACATTACAGAGGGTGAGCAGTGTAATGTAGACTCCTCTGCCACCTGATGGCAGTGCTAGTGCAAACTCTACGACGCTACACAAATTTTCCATTTTCAAAGCAAAACATAAAGAAATGAGAGGTGGCTCAGGACTTTTGGACAGTACTCTATGTTAAGCCCTTAATTTGATTCTTATTTCCTAGTTTGGCCCTTTGTGAAAATGAATTTGTCACCACTGTCCTATAAATTTTTACAAATGAACTGAACTTTGTCATCTTATTGCACTTTTTCTCATTTGAATATGTTGTCTAAATGTGACAACAAATGTTGTATTTGGGAGTAATTGATATACGAATACAAAGTAAAACAGTTCACAGTTAAAACAGTTTCACAAAACCTTACCTGAGTTTCACAACTGAGGTAAGATTTGAAGTTAAAAAGTTATAGACCTTCTACATATTAATGTTATTCATGTTGGTGCTGTTTTGTTTTTTTTTTGTCTCCTGTTCTCATGCTGTCCTACCATGGAAGCACAGCATGAGTAGAGGTCTCTTTTTTTCCTCTTGTACTTTCCCATTGTAGTGTACATTTCAGTGTTTTTCTGTAACGCTACCGATCTCTGACTTGTATCCCCATGTAATGTCTGTGTTGTGTGTGTAAGATCGGGGGGGGGTGTCCCATTTCACTGCAGGGCAACCTGCATGTGGCGAATGAAGCTTTGATTGATTGATTGATTGATTGTTATTCAACCCAGTGATTTCCATTTTTCTCTTTATAATGATGCCACAGTAACTTACAGGCAAGTGTAACGTGCATACTTGAAAATCACTACTCGCTGCACCTGATGAAGCAGTTGAACAGGAAGACAGTACTGCGGATGACCCTTGCAGTGCGGCTCTCTTCGTGCTGTGATCGCGATAGTGTCAGCCCATCGTCCATGTGCCCCTCATGGTGCATGATTGCCTAAATAAGAAACAAAGTTTCTCCAGGTTCAGCAGATTCAGAAATGTATTAAGATTGCTCAGTAACAGAGGAAGTTGCTTTGCACTTGATGGGTGATGCATTGATTGGATACATGAGGAATCTTCAGAATATTTATAGGAAATTTGCACAAAAACAGTTCCATTAGTGAAAAAAGTAAAGTCTTTTACAGCATCCAGCAGCTTTTAGAATTAGTGACAGTTCTTTCATTTTCACTAACTATTGCCACAGAGACCCGGACTAATATGTTAAACATATAAATACTTATATGTTGTTATTATATGTTGTTAATTTTTCAAGGTTTCCCTCTGCGTTGGCTGTCAGTGGAACAATGTCAACAATGTTTCTTGATGGTATGACACAAGAATCAGAATGATTTCTGAAGTGCAGAGGTGTCTACTCTGCACAGATTCAGCCAAATACCACAAAACTGCTTGTACAGCAGAGTAAATGGCTAATGGCCAAACACATACTGCAAAGGCAACCCAAGAAAGAAGAAGACAAAGATAGATATTCTTCATTGGTCAAGTCAGTCACCAAGTCAGCTTCATTTGCAGTTAGTGAAAGACCCACAAATATTTTCATTACAATGGTGTTAATAAATTAAGCCTGAAATTTTCACTTCAATTACATTTGAAATGTTTGATTTAAAATCTAATGTGGTTGTGTACAAAAAGTAAAAACTAATAACATTTAAAAATGGTGTCATTTTCCAAATAATGCAGCAGATTCAAAGTATCTGAGGTAAATCCAACGCTATTGGGTCAATGAAAACACAGCTCATCCCCCTTTTTAATTGAAAAACTTTTCCCCATTCTGACTGTGCAAGAAGTGCATGAATTTTACATTCATCTTAATTTTACGTTAACTCTAGCATAATGAAAGTCCACAACCTCACCATGGACCATATTTACAGACACAAGTATTTATAAAGTTGTAATAGGTGAAGTTATGGTTTGGTGCGGTATGGTACCTTTCTCTGTACTCCACCCATGCGTGCACACTTGGCATCAACAGTCTGGTAAGTAAGCCACAGACAGGTGTCAACATGTTGAATGTAACACACAGAGTCACCATACTTTATGTCAGGAGTCCCCATCCCATCCACGTCCTTCCTCACACCCAGGTCCAGCTTTTCCTGAAGGAGAAACAAAGAGGAAAATTCACTTAGACAAGTGAGCCTATAAAAACACAGAGAATTTCCTTCATTCAAAACACAATGATTTCATAGATTATGGCCTTCACAGATAGCACTGCTACTAATGTCACTAACTCTATACCTTGGAAGACCTGAAGCAGAAGGCTGTAGACTTGACATCAGCTTTCTCTTTGTCCATCAGCAACAGAGACTTGTCTTCTACCATGCTCAGATACTTCCCTGTGGTCACATGTCTCAGTCTGAATGGCTGACCCCAACGGATATGACTCCCACTCCACCTGGACATATTGACAGAAATCCAAAAAAAGTCAAGGAACCTGACTGATTTAATAGTGCATGTTATGAGGAATTAGACATACAGAACATCAATGGTTTCAGTGCCTTTAAACCTGCATTATACAGTATTATTTAGTCATTGAACCATAGATCCAATTACTAAATATAACATATAATGTAAACATTTCTTTTTGTACATACATATACATATGTTGAAATAAATTATTACATTTCCAACATGTCAGTGGTTAAAGTTGCCACTGTGAGTGACAGGTGTCCCCACACACCTGCTTGTCCACCACTGTGGACAGTTTCTTAGCCATCACCAGTTTGTCTGTATCTGGAAGACCCACAGGATCTGGGATGATCCCTTTTTGACCTCTGGACTTCCAGGCCACATTCAGCACAGATGTTCCTGGATACGATGCCAGCCACTTTTATGGCATTATGGCGTTCCATGTATGTCCTGCCTGCTAGCATCTTGCACCCTGCAGTCATGTGTTGGATTGTCTGAGGGGCATCTTTGCATAGCCTGCACATGCGTATCATTTAAGTTCATATGTGTGCAAAGGCAGACCAGTGAATACTTTTGGCAAAGTCTTCCCTGCCATTCTTGAGTTCCTCATACACTACCACAGTTTCTCACTTAGCTCCTTATCATATGCTTTGTCTGGATCCACAAAGAGAAGGTGTAATTCCATCTGACCTTCTCCACACTTCTCTATCTACACTCTCAAAGCTAATATCCCATCTGTAGTGCTCTTTCTCAGCTTGCAACCATATTGCTGCTCACTGATCATCACCTTTCTTCTTAACCTAGTTTCAACAGCTCTTTCACATGCATTCATCTTATGGCTCACCAGTATATCCTCTCACTCTGCAAAACTGTGTTTAACAGTCTGGTTAAAAAGTTTACTTCCCTCTCTCCTACACGTCTCCATGCTGACACAGGTATGTCATCTGAATCAACTGCCCTCACTCCCTCCTTTCTAAGCCTCTGCACTTCCTGATTCACTAACTGTCCTCAATCCATCTCTCTCTCTCTTATTTTCTACATTCATCAGTTCCTTAAATACTGTTTTCATCTTCTCAACACAGCCTCTTCACTTGTTAACATGTTTCTATCTAACCTGCTGCACACCGCTTCCAGCTCAATCTCTCCGCCTGACGCAGCTATCACAACTTTCCTTTGTCTTCCTTTATCGTGTCTTGTGACTGACACTAGTATTACATTGGGTTTTGTATGTGTTTTACATGTGTTTTTATTTTGCATTAACCTGTTTGTAAACGTATGCAGAGCACATGGACAGGGATAGCTCAGTAGGTAGAGTGGTGGCCCCATGATCGGAAGGTCGGTGGTTCGACTCCACTGAACGGCTACCCTGAGGTACCCCTGAGCAAGGTACCGTCCCTACACACTGCTCCCCGGGCGCTGCATTGGTGGCTGCCCACTGCTTCACTGGGTGAATGGGTTAAATGCAGAGGAACTATTTCCCTACGGGGACTAACATGCACACTTTACACCTTTACATGTATGTTGTTTATACTCACACGACTCGCAGTGTCTCCAGCCTCCACAGTGACCTGGCATGACAGGACACGGCTCCGCCTTCGTAATGCACTGTCCTGGAGAAACGAATGACAGAATTGCAAATCTGTTTTAACAAATCTCCCAACAGTGCTGTTATATTTGCAAAGAAGATTCATAAGTATTTAACCTGATTATACAGTCTCATAATAAACCCCAGCAGTTAGTCAGATGGGAGCACAGTCACTTTGAGCCTCATTGTTTAACAGCTTGGCAGTCTCCTTTGGGAACTTCTTAAAACTATAATTGTTAATAGTCTTATTCATCTCAGTCAAAGCTCTCTGTCAGTAAAGGGACTTGTTACATTCTGTCCCTCCAAGCAGAACCAGACAAACTGAATTATTATATGTGTAATATTATTATATATGGCCCCAACTGGTGGGTAAAGAAAGCTGAAGGTAGGCAGAACAAAAAATGTTGACTGGAGAGGCGTCTTTTGAAATAAGACTTGGAAACTACGTGTGTTCTTTTAGAGCCGTCCAGTGGGATATAGCACAGCATTAGTTCAGCTTACCATCATCCCTATATAATGGCCCAGTCACGCTAGACTACTGGGAGAAAAATAGTGGCTTCCCAGCATCGATTTGGGTTTTTGTTTTTCTGTTTGTTCCAGTCATTCCAACTGCTTGCCCAGAGGTTAAGCATGCAACAACCTCAACCTCTGTGACCACTTTCACTCACAAGGTAGTTGCACTGGTGGATCTGTGGAGCTTGGACTGACTGCAATCACTTCCACACAGGTTGGTAAAACCTTGAAAATATCTGCTGTCCATTGTATAAACACAGATTACCAACATGATGCAGTCAGTCTGAGTCTCTGCTGATGAGCACAACTCAACAACTATTTCACAATTGGTGAAGGAATTTTTTAATTTCTGCTTCCAAACTAAAGCTTTTGCCTGGACTTTGAATGTACAGTGCTGTCTACATTTTCTTAGACTTACATGTTTCAAATAATCAAACGGTTTTAATATTAGACAACGATAACTTTATATTGTTTCTCTTGTAAATAAATTCACTTAACTACATATGCTAATGTAATAAATGTATAAGACTATATACTTATACAACTTTTGTTATAAAGAACTTAGTTAGTGATCATAGTTATAAATAGAAAGCCCAGAGTATTTTATGAGACTGATTAAACGAATAAATTATCAAAATTTCCCATTAATTACAATCCCCAAATTACTTTTTAATGGATTGAGATCATATTAATTGTTTGATCTATTTCCCTCATTTTTTTTATTCATAAATAATATACAGAGTCATCATATTATTTATTGGTGCAAATGAAACCTATTAATATTGGCAGTGAGTCTTAATCCCTACATTCCTTATGTAATCCCTCTTCTTTAGCTTCCTTATGTTTTCTAAGTGTTGATCCTTGTAAATATAGAGTTAGAAATTTCAACTATATTGGAACAACACTGTACAGCCATTGACAGTATGCTAAATTGGGGTAATGTGTGCATTTCTCTTTTTTCTCCTCTTGATCCAGCTGTTTCTGAGAAGCTGCACTTTGGGCACCGGTTCAGCTCACTGAGCCAAGCAGGCAACCATACGCCACACGGCTGAGAGTGGGTTTGAATCCACTCTGACTCTCTCTCTTGCACAGACAGCATCATAGCATATGTCATCTCAAGGTAACTTATACAGGAAGGTTAAGACTCTGTGTGTGTGTGCGTAAACTGAATTATTTCAGAGCAGTAGCAGCACTAAGCATTGCACCTTACCGCCTTTGCTCATCTCCATGCTCCCCAGAAGGAACTGTTAGGCACTCGTCCATGTGACCGTGAAGTAGGCGCAGAACATCTCCTCCAATAAGGAAACCTAAAAGAAAGCAAAGGGTGAGGATTTTTGTTTTTTTATTAAATGAATGGAGATAAAAGAGGCAGATAGGAGGGCAGATCAGGGGGTGAAACTTGATACATAATTCTCCAGAGAAATGACAAAAAAGCAGCAGTACACCTGCTATCTTGCATGCGTTGCTATTTTTGAAACTCATTTGAGTATTCGGATGAACCTGACGTGGGAAGGCAGCAACTGATCTTTATATTTCTGAAACACCCCTGTTCAGATATATAAAGATCAGTAGAAATACTTGTCCAAATGAAAAACAGCTATGTTTCAAACAATGGCACTCAAAACATCAAGTGAGTCATGAACTATTTCTGGACGTCCCACAAAAATGAGAATTTGGTTGCAGATACAAAATTGTGAAAAGCTCCACAGCATTTTGTATAGAGGTGTTATACTGAACAAAGATGAGTGACGTTACTGCACCCTACTTGGTAAAATCTAGACAGAGAGAATTATTAAGAAAGGTATACAGTCTGTTTGTGGATCTACACAGTAATAGATGTAATAGAGGTCAGCAAGCATCTTGTTCCAAAGAACAGGACCACAATAACAGAAAGCACTCTCAGCAGACTGAGATCTGATTCTGGGAACAGTTAAAAGATCTGAACCTGATGACCTGAGAGGTCTGACTGGGCTGTACAGGGAGTGCAGAATTATTAGGCAAGTTGTATTTTTGAGGAATAATTTTATTATTGAACAACAACCATGTTCTCAATGAACCCAAAAAACTCATTAATATCAAAGCTGAATGTTTTTGGAAGTAGTTTTTAGTTTGTTTTTAGTTTTAGCTATTTTAGGGGGATATCTGTGTGTGCAGGTGACTATTACTGTGCATAATTATTAGGCAACTTAACAAAAAACAAATATATACCCATTTCAATGATTTATTTGTACCAGTGAAACCAATATAACATCTCCACATTCACAAATATACATTTCTGACATTCAAAAACAAAACAAAAACAAATCAGCGACCAATATAGCCACCTTTCTTTGCAAGGACACTCAAAAGCCTGCCATCCATGGATTCTGTCAGTGTTTTGATCTGTTCACCATCAACATTGCGTGCAGCAGCAACCACAGCCTCCCAGACACTGTTCAGAGAGGTGTACTGTTTTCCCTCCTTGTAAATCTCACATTTGATGATGGACCACAGGTTCTCAATGGGGTTCAGATCAGGTGAACAAGGAGGCCATGTCATTAGTTTTTCTTCTTTTATACCCTTTCTTGCCAGCCACGCTGTGGAGTACTTGGACGCTTCTTGCGACCCTGTTGACTATCTTGAATGAAACGCTTGATTGTTCGATGATCACGCTTCAGAAGCTTTGCAATTTTGAGACTGCTGCATCCCTCTGCAAGATATCTCACTATTTTTGACTTTTCTGAGCCTGTCAAGTCCTTCTTTTGACCCATTTTGCCAAAGGAAAGGAAGCTGCCTAATAATTATGCACACCTGATATAGGGTGTTGATGTCATTAGACCACACCCCTTCTCATTACAGAGATGCACATCACCTAATATGCTTTCGAGTCTATACAGCTTGGAGTAAGACAACATGCATGAAGAGGATGATGTGGACAAAATACTCATTTGCCTAATAATTCTGCACTCCCTGTAGACAGTGAGCAAATCAGAGATGTACTGGGGCGGGGGGACTAATAGAACTAATAGAAGAATTTTAAAGGTAATTCTATATTGCCCTGGAGCCAAATGAATAGAACTGAATGAGCTGAAGACGTCCTACTAATGATTTGGGGAGTGCTGCAAACAGAGCATTGTGATAAGCTATTCTAATAATCTCACCAGTAGCTGCCTCGTCCTGAGCCCGGTTCTTCCTGTTAAAAGGGAGTTTTTCATTCAGATTGTCACCAAGTGCTTGCTCACAGGGGGTCATCTGCTTGTTGGGGCTTTCTCTGTAATATTGTAAGTTCTTTACCTCAAAATATAAAACTCCTTGAGGCAGCTGGTGTTATGATTTGGTGCTTTATAAATAAAGCTCAATTGAATTGAACTAGAACTAATCTACTCAATATGAACAGGATCCACTTTCTCAGTGTCATTTTGAAGATAACAACCCATGTTCCTCTCTGGAGCATCCATTGGAGTGTGAATGTCAGACAGCAGAAAGAAAAAAGTGCTTGTTTTAGGCATGTTGTATAAATAACTATGAGTATGTAAATTAGAAAAGCGTTACAGAAGAACCAGTCCATTTACGATTAAATAAACCAATTAGGTTGTCATGGTCAACAGTGTTGAAAGCAGCAGAGACATCAGGAAGAACTGAAACTCTCTGTGAATCACTGTTGATCCTCCTGTTCATCAGTAATAACGGTTTAGTAAGAGCTGTTTCTGTGTTATGATGAGCTCTGAATCATGACTGCTACTTATCATTAAGACTGTGAGTTGAAACGATTTTCCAAATACTTTGCTGAGGAGTAAAAGATTAGACATAGGTCTGTAATTATTAATTACCAATAGATTACAGTACCAATAGATTACAGTACATATAAGTGACACGGGGAACCTGCCAGACTGTAGAGAGCTGTTGATAATATTTACTAAATGGTTTATAAAAAGTGAGATGCAGATCTGAACAGTTTGGTGGGGACGGGGTAAAGTAAAGAAGGTTTGCTGAAGATTTGCCAAATAGAAGGCCACGTTTTAAACTGCAGGGTGTGACACGGATCGACGGGGTTTAATGTGAACAACATCACAGGGTCTTTGAGGTCTGCTGACTTCCTGTTGGTGACTGATCCATTGTTATTGCTTTAACATGAGCAGAGTAAGTAATATACTGATGTATTAGTAACTGTAGATGTTGAGGAGTTATGTGATCATGAGGTCCCAATATGGGAATTATAGGAATAATGTTTTTATCCTTACTAATTGCACATCCTCTACAGAGGCAGTAACAGTACAGTATGATAAAACGCGCACCTCTATGTTGACCATTTATATTTAATTAGTGTAATATAGAGGGATATTTATAATGAGAGCTATTTGTATCTATTAGAGTCATGTTGTTATCATTTCCAACTTGTAATATATTGTTTTATTTAGTTGCTGTTCTTACAGTCTTGGAGCAACTGTGACTACATAATTGGACAGCGGTCGTCCAGGTAATATCCCGCAGCTATATGGTGGAAATAAAGCATTTTGACTCTTGCTATTGACGTCTGTTTAAGAATGTAAGTAAAAACTTCTTAAGTTGTTGAAAAGATGACAATATTTGTTTTCAGTGCAGCTAAACTTTAATAAACTGTCTTCTACAGAAAAACCTGATAAGTCCAACTATGACAGGCTCGTATATAAGCCGACTGTTACAATACATGAACTGTGCATGGATGGGGTTTATGCTATATACTTGTCCCTTTTTTGAGAATACCGATTATTTAAGGGTCAGATTATTGTTCAATTTATTTTTGGTTGTTGTTATATATATTTTATATTTTATATTCTTGGTGTTTATTTACTTTATTATTGCCCAGAATAAACACGTATATTTGTGAACAAAGGTAAAACTGCAAAAAAGGAAGAAAAAAGAAGGGAGAGAGAAAGAGATAAGGATACCTTGTGCTACTTCACTCCCAGAACAGATGGGAGCCACACTCCACAGTGTCTGCTGGAAGGCTGCATCGACATGGAGACTGCCATTACCATAGGACAGGTGCTACAGGAAACAGACGTGAGTCATGTTTGAACTATTTACTGACACAGCACACTGAAATATATACAGAAAGTGTTTCCAAATCAGAAACACCAGTTAGACAGTAGGAAAAGCAAATCAGTCCTGATGCATGAGATTATGTGATTATTCAGATACTTTCACAGTACAGGATTAGAGGTACAGTTTTATATTCTATAAAGTAAGTGTTTTAAATATATAGAGAGGGAAAAGGAAAGCAGAGCCAATGCAGAGCAAGATGCTGCAGAATGATTTCGGGAAATTAGGGCCGAGTCACACAGGCATAGAGACTCTTCAGCTTTCATCTGGCACCCACGGGTCCCAAAGGAAACATTTATTTCCCAACTGTGTTGAGATTTGTGACATGATCACATTATTTGTGCAGATTTCTCAGTTGTCATATCATATTACAATCCAATCTATAACTTTAATAATAAATGATGAATATAACAAATACTATACATTTAATAAATAATTATAATATAACTAACCAAGTAGTTTTGTTGCCTAAACCTCAAAAAAGACCCAATAAAATAGTGAATAAAATTGGAAAGTATTTGCAGTCTCTTGTGATTGTATGCCAACGCCACACAACCTTGTACTCTTTATAAAACTAGTGTTATAAACACCAGTTACATCTTTACAATAACTGTGCAGATAACGGTCTGTAAACCAGTTATTAACCAGAGTATAAACACTGTTATCTTATTGTTTTTCTACAGTAAATGTATTTATAAAGGTGCTACTGACATGAAATTATCACCAGATGTTGGCAACAACCCATCCAATACAAAGATGCAAAGAAGATGTCCATGAATCTTCTTTAGATCAATAGAAAGGAAGGCGCCTGTGTGTTTGGCATGCCGTCTATCGCTCTCTTCTGTTTGTTTTATTTTATTGTTTTTAGTCAATTTTGTGCAACATGTCAGCCCTACATTGTTTTATGATCGCCAGACATTATTGGAAATAGGCTTATCTACCCAAGCTTTAGCTTGGTTTGGAAATGACAACCAAGGCTTTCTGCCTCCTGATTTGGAAGTAACACCACCTCACTGGCGCTCCTTACCATTGCCACTGGATGTGCGGAAGCGACGCAGGAGACGAGGTAACCGTGGAGGTCGCCTTGTCAAACTGAGACTCAGGATCTCTTGTTTTCCTCATGAGCTTCGCTCAATTTGTCGATCCTGCTCGCAACTCTTGGTGCCGTTGCGTGCTTTGGACCCGGTGGACTCCTGCTTGGTTCCTGTTGTGGGATCTCTCGAGAAGGGTTCTGCAAAACCCTCTCCTCTCCGACATCTGCGTTGGCGTGGAGTGGACTGAACAAACCTCCGACCTGTGGATCTGGTTGTTACCGCCTCGGAAGCTCCCGAGCAAATTCCTCTCAGGTTGGGTTTAATTAACGCCAGATCGGTGGCAAATAAGACATTCATTTTGAAGGAATTTTTCTCTTCCCATGCGCTGGATTTTCTCTGCTTGACTGAAACTTGGATTCCACCCGGTGAGTTAAGTGTCTTTTCTGAATTACTGCCGGCTGGTTGTGCCTTCTTTAGTGTTCCGAGAGTTTCTGGTCGCGGAGGAGGGCTAGCTGTTGTTTTTAAGGCACATCTTGACTTTAAGCAGCTATCCCCATCGACACTTCACACCAGTTTTGAACTCTGTTTGTGCGAACTGGGCCACTCGTCTTCACTGTTGTGTGGGATTGTTTATCGGCCCCCAAAATATAATAAGGAGTTTTTATCCGAGTTCTCAGAGTTTCTTGCTGACTGTGCATCACGGTATAACCAGATCCTTTTACTTGGTGATTTTAATATACACGTCTGCTGCCCGGGGAAGCCCCTGGCTAAGAACTTTCTGGACTTATTGAACTCTTTTAACTTCGTTCAGTCTGTTAAAGGTGCCACTCAAGAACGTGGTCACACACTGGACTTGGTTTTATCACATGGTTTATCTGTCCATAACGTACTCGTCGAGGATGCAGTGTTCTCTGACCATATGCCTATTTTATGTGATATTGTTCTTTTTAATCCTGTTCTTAAGCGTGCTGTACCTGCTCGATGTTATCGTGCTTTTGGCTCAGATACTGCCGAGCGGTTTTCCATATTGTTTGACCAATTTATTTCTTATCGACCTGAGTTGTCCACCTCAGATGGATTAGTTTGGACTTGTTTGGATTCTGCTTGTAAATCTGTCCTTGACGCTGTCGCTCCTTTTATATTCAGACAATGCAAGCCAAAGGCTAGTCCTTGGCTAACTGATTTTACCAGAGCCGCTAGAAAAGAATGTAGAAGATGTGAAAGACGGTGGAAAAAAGATAGGCTGTGCGTCTCTATGGAAGCTCTTAAGACTAGCTGGAAAGTCTATCAGGGAGCAGTAAAGGCTGCCA